GCCTCAGCACCCTCACAGGGAAGAGCTGCTTCCCAATACAAGTGATAAATGCACCCAGAGTTGTATACGTGTTTCATGTGTGCCACTTCACAGTCAACTGCAGTTTGCCATTTCCTCTTTCCTGTGAGTAAACCCATGCTAGTGATCTAGAGAATTCAAGTTATCATTTACTCAAAACACACAGATGAAAAACCACAGCAGGCTGTGCAAACTTCTGATGAAGAGCACCAGGGTCAGGCTGGGTTTCTATCATGGGCAACGCAATCACAAGCTTTCTGGGAGGGAATATCCAAAGATGGGAACATGTAACAATTCAGATGCTTCAGTCTAGTACAAGACCAGCTCCAGCCCTCCTGGACTCACCAGTCCCCTTCACTGCTCACTCAGGGCTGTCATCAAGGGGCTGCTCTGAGCCAGGAGCACCCAAACTCTGGTCCAGGGTGCTCTCCACCACAGGGCATCAGCAGGGTCCAGCTGCAGAAGAGATGTGGAGGCTTTTGGAAGCAGAGCCCCGGGGGGAGGCTGGTCAGTGAGCAGAGCCTGAGCTGGGATGATGGGCTTGGTGAGAGGTTTCCATCCTTGGTTTTGGCACGGGAATAACTGCACGAGTAAGAGCTCCATGACCTCAGCTGCTTTGTCTGCTAATTGAAAACAGCTCCCTCCCAGCACAGAGATGGAGCAGCCAGCCGAGGGGCTGAGCTGCAGAGAAGCTGGGATCCAACCGTCACCATCTCCTCCAGAGAGCACGCGTTCCCCATGGGAGCTGGGGAAACCACGCTGGAAGCCGTGAGACCATAGCACAGTGAAGGAGGACACGGGCAGCGATCAGAGCTGGCCCTGCCGGCACAGTGACATCCACAGGCAGGCACAGTGCTCCCAGTGCGAGGGCTGCAGTTCAACCACAGCCGGCACCCCTGCCAAAACACACACATGGGGGCAAAGTGGGACCCGAGAGTACCCAAGTTAACACTGGTTAGGAAGTGACAGCCCAGGGCCACATGTGGTAGCATTAGGGCTTACAGCCTCATGCACTGAGTCACACGTGCTCCGTTCGCTTGCCATCGCTCTAGAAGATTAAAGCAGAGGAAATCAATGCAAAACCAAATGAAAACAGTAAGAGCTGGGAGAGATCCCACTGTCTTACAGTCACTGAAAACCTGCTATGGGATGCAAGAGCCACCAGCCAGCTATCCATGCTCATCACTGAGGTGCAAGGTACACATTAGTTAACCATAGCTTAGTGCTACTATTAACAGGAGACCTTCAGGCTGTCACTCAAAGACCCCAGAAAAACCACGCTTCCCTTCTGGGATCCCAAGAGATCCCATAAAGATCCGACCTGCCACTGCGCATCACTGCAAGGTACATGGAAGACAAGGTTCCACCTTCAGCCCGTGCTGCAGCAGTGTAAGGCTGGCAGAGCCACACAAAAGCCTCTCCAGCATTAAGGTGATGCTGTAGATTAGAGGGAGAAGGGAAGCCAACACAGGAGTCAGAGCAGCTGGAACTGGATCAAACACAAGGGCTCCTGAGGTCGCACTGGTCTGGAAGTGCTTAACTGGAAGCATCCTCCTCTTCTAGTTCACCTCCCCCTCAAGGGACAGGGACAACCACTCCAATGGCAGCACAGGGGCAGGAGCCACACGAGCACTTGGGAAGTGATTACCCAAATCACCAGAGATCAAGCGCTGACCTCTGGTTAAGCAAACACCTCCTCCCCACGCAGTCTGGGCAGCCTTTTCCCTGCAGGATGAGACAGATTCAGGACTAAACATGTGAAGTCAGCCTCTAAATCCCCATCACTTACAGCTCACAGGTGCTGGATTCTGGCTCTTTTCAGAGCCAGACAGAGATTACTCTCATTCAGAATAAGGGAACAGATGCTGTGCTGCACCGCATCCCCAGCACCAGAAGAGTAAAAGGAAGAGTCCTGGAGGATGTACTCTCCAAGGATGCCTTTTACTCACACTCCATCCTCACCTCAAATAAAGCTTGACATGATTGAAAAGACAACCCTTCTGTTTCCCATATTGGGGATTTTACAGCTGAGTTGAGGTACACAACTCTTGTATGATACAAACTCGGTTCCCACCCCAACAGAACATGCACAACTTCCTTTGTCCATCACAGCCAAACCCATTCTCCACTCAGCACGTTTTGGCCTGGATGCCAGTTTTCCCCTCAAAGATGATTAGGCAGATGATCTGCACATGTTTTTTCCACACTCACAGGAAAGAGAAGCAACTTCTAATGCAGACAAAATCACAGATAAACAGACCAATTCTTTAGGTGGTTTCCTAACCCAGCTAGAGGGCTGTGGCACCGCTCCGTGATGCAGCGCCTGTCCACCCAGCAGCACTCAGGCCATGGGTGAGCAAACCACATGCTCTAACTGGATGTGGATTACTGGCATGGGCTGGGGGTGGTTGCTCTTCAAATGACTGCATAAGCCATGATAAGAGAGCATCCTTCCATGAGAGTTCATGTGGTGCCTGCTTTCATCAGTACCTGTTATGCAGAGCAGCGCCTTGAAGACCTCATCAGCGAGACGTGACCTGAAGACCCCTCCGAAAGGTCCCACAGCACTTGTCCCCGGCAGCACTTGTCCCCAGTGAGGCTCTGTAGTGTGTATGAGTATCTGTACTAAGTACTTCAACCCTGTGAAATAGAGCTGAGGCAGCAGCATGCAAAGAGAAAAACCACTGCAGCCTGAACAAGACCCGAGTACTTACCATACCAGTGATGCACTGGCAGAAACTCCCTGTGCCTAAAAGGAAGGCTTATTTGTTCCAGCATATGAATCCCCTGGTTTAGTCTAAATACTAAATAAGTCTAAAAACTTATTCCATAGTCTTAATATTAGGCTAATTGCCTTACTCTGTTCATCTTCTAGAATGGCAGGAGACAGAACAGGGAACATGACCTGCCAGACCCCACAAACAAGCCTGGGAGGTTGCTGGATGCCCACGAATCACACATGCTCTTTTCTCTCAAATCACTATTATTCCTCAGACCAGATCAGCAGCAATTGAGCCCAGAGCACAAAGAGCTTGGCATTTGTATCCACACTCATCACACCCTACTTTAGGGATGGATTGGAGCAAGGTGGGAAAAAACTCAGAAAACCAGGGCTTTTCCCAGAGAAAACAAGCAAGTGAAGTCATATTTAAGAGCTCAGGATTATAGAGCAGTTAACACAATGGAATTCCCCAGCCAAGTACCCCGTTTCACAAGTGGGATGTGTAGATTTTTGGCCAGAGTCCTGACGTGAACTTCATCTGTCAACATACCACGTTGACAGAAACCAAGTAGATTCCTCTTCCTCCCCCTGAAATCCGAAGCGTTCCAAGCTGAGATTGCGGCTTTGGCTCGCCGGCAGCTCTTCACATCTGCGAGGCTGTCAGATGCCGAATGCTTGTTTTATAAACCCCTTTTTTCTTCAGTTTATGTGTGCTGAGAGATTTTACTAAGAAAACCAGAGGTCAGCAATGAAATATGCTGAGGAGCTAGCCAGAAACCACAACATTCAAGGCAAGCGAAGGAGCACTGAGCAATTAGAGAGCAATGATGGAGCTGTGCTGTGCTAGCTCCTTCAAGCTTTCAGGAGAAAATCCTGCTATTTCTATAGCGACCTGCTACAACTGCTCACATAATTTACTTACAGGACTTGATGCTCCTCTCATTTCAGCATCAGCAACAACTGGAGCTCAGCAAATCTCCGCCTCGGCAATCCCATCTCTGTTCAGTTGTGTGCATTAAAACTTTAGTGAATGCATGTACTTACCTGCTGCATCTAAATGACTACACAAAGCAATAACCATTAAGTTCACATGCAAAATTCAGGGCACACGAAGTTCTATTGCTGAGCTACATTGCTTTATTACCAATACAATAAACTGATGACATCTGTTACATCCAACACATCAAACTCTTCTGTTCCACAAGTGTTTCCCAGGAGGACAGCAGGTCCCTCGCTACTAATCCTGCCTGGCAGCTGTTTGAAGCATTACCTCATCCCAGCTCATCCAGTCCCTGCACAACATAGGGCGATGGAGAAGGACAAAGGGAACCCTTGTCTCTCACCTGACAATCACAACCTCAGCTGGACGTTTCAGTGCAGTTGAAGTTCCTTTCACTTTCTCAGGACAGTTTCATATGCCAGCATATTAACAACTGCCCAAGCCAGTCTTCAAGCAGTAAGTGATGGCTGTAAACCCAGCACCATTCCTGGCTTTAAGTTCACTGCAGTCATCCATAGTCCCAAAGCCATGCCCACACCGTTAAGTGGCCAGGGAGAGATGTGAGGTCAGCCCACCTTGCACGGTCACCTCTCGATGCAAGCCTGGTACTACCAGCAAGTTTTCACATTTCTGAAACATCTGCCTATTTCTCCATCACTTTGCCCATGTATTATTATTTTTTTAGCAATTAATCACCATTTCTTCTGAATTGTAATTCAGAAATGGGATTTCCTTTCTATCACAGACAACACTGTTCTCCACACATTGCCTTGTGGCCATTACCAACATGCTAACAAAGCAAAAAGGCAAAGGAGAATCTACATCCTGACATTCAAAGGACATGAGCATTCCCAGCTGTCTCAAGGGCAAGACAAAGATAGGCTCACAAGCCATTCAACTGACTTCAATAATAGTCAAGACTTGTCAACACCACTGAAGGTCTTGAAAGGCTTCAGATTTTGTTTGCATCAAAACCAGGCAGTATCCACACCAGCAAAGTTAACATCACTTCTCATGAGTGTCACTATACAGCCCCTCTGCTCCCAGAATGCATTATAGTTTCAATACATAAATTAAACCTTTCCAGATTCTACTGAAGGCAGAACAGTTCTGTGTCAAGTGCAGGAGTCTTAAATAAAACATTGCCCAAAACCACCATGTATTTTCTATGGAAAATGGGGAACAAAGCAATAGACCTTCAAAGGAAAAAGCAAGGGCCCACTGTTTCCTTATACATAGCAAGGACACAGAGTAGAGAACCACTTTATGGAAAGAACATTTATTTCTGATTCAGAACCTGTGATCCATAGAAATACAATAAAATCAACATGTACACAAAATTAAACAAACCAACTTGGGCTCAAAGAAATATTTAACATCTAAATCCTCTGAGGTACAAAAGGCACAAGACCAGGCACCCAAACATACCGAACGCACCACTACTACAGAGAAAGCTGGGAGGGCAGAAGGCATGGAAATAACAGCAACCAAGACACAAGTGCGTGAAAAATGCCATTTACTTCCTTTCACTGTTACATATTTTGTTGTTCTTTTTTTTTTTTGGTAAAGTGCCAGGACTCTTGGAGAGAAAGATGGATCATTTCTTAGAAATGAACTGGAACAGACAACAGTAGAAAAGGAGACAAACAAAGGCCTGCAGCATGTTGGGGTTCAGTCAACCTCTGTTCTCCCACAACGCCTTAAGAATTCGTTTCCCCTTTCGTGAAACCATTTGTTTGACACTGTGGAAACAAGGATGTGAAATTAATTACCACCATATAACCAGTGTGTGCATCACCGCAACCCAGATGGTTACTGCAAGTAAAGTCTCATCTCTCAGCCTGACCATCCCTGCTTATACTTCTCTATCCATCCATGGGAAAGACATAGGAAGATGTAAAGGGCTGGGGAAGAAAATATCTTTCCAATTGCACAATTTAGGAACCAATAGTAACAGAGCAGTGTATTCTGGGTCTGGTATTTGTACGTCTGCCACTCCAGGGGAATACCCTGGATGCTAGGGAAGGCGGGTATGGGATGACATGGAGCTTGAGAAGCTCTCGCAGTTAGCAGAAATCCCCAGTGCCCAGACAGCCACATCTACCTTTAAGGAGCTCTCCTCCGTTTGCAGTTAAAACTAAGCACAAATCTTTGCAGGAACAGACCTGGCTCTAGTCAAGTGATAATTCAAGTCATCCTGATGCTGATACCCTACACAAACCCAGGGGCATTCTTACACACTTTGTGCTGTCATTGACACAAGCTCATTAGAGAACCTACAGCTGAACAATGCAGCTGCTTGATACTACGTGACACTGATGGGGGGAGTTCTCATTATGGCCAAATTACTCCAGTAGCAACAGTAGCAAATCACTCCAAACAGCAACACCCAGGTTATTAAAAGCTGTTGTAAGGGTTCAGTGTGTCACTGGCCCTGCATACGCATGAGCCTTCCTAGGTTTTGCTCCTAAAGCAGTATTACTTACCCCATTTACACCCTACTAGTACTGGACAAGCTGCATGTCTTGTTCTATAATCACCCTCTCCACTTCTGAAAAGGTTGTACCAAAACACTGCTGTTCCCTGAAAAGTGAAACCAGACCTGGGTTAGTCAGAACCTGGGCAACGGAATTATTCAGGTCACAGTAAGGGAGAGCAGGGAAATGCCTTGAATGCTTTTATGAAGCATAGGCCACCATATGACAGCACACAAACTCCATTAGTCCCACTCTATGAATTCAGCCATGCTCAGAGTCAAGAGCTCTACCTGAACACAAGTTTTTGTTAACAACAGCTCTACACAGACACTGTTCATGTTACACATCGTAAAACAAAGGAAGCTTAGAGCTGCCTTGATACACAGCAGCCTGTCCATCAAGATGCAGCAAACAGCATTTTGTCACATCAGTGGCTTTTAAATGGATGCAGGACCATTGAAGAAGATGAGGCCAGCAGGAGAGAGGAGAAATCAAGCAAACACATTCAGACTCACCTTCTTGGGCCATATTGCTGCCCCAAAATCTGGGAACACCGTAGCTCCTCCAGCTTCTACATCACTCATCTGAGAAAACAAAGTCCACAAACTCTGTCCATTCACAAAGCTTTTTGTAGATGCAGTCCCACAAGCTAGAGTGCCCCAAGCCCTGACAGAGATTCCTGCTTGCACCTCTATGGAGGCACTAATGGGGAAAGGATGCTCTTCAACCAGCATGAGCTGCAGAAGTAACAGTGTCTGCTACTGATGGCTTTTGTTCAGCACTTCATCTAGATTATATATAACCCTTTGGACAATCAGCCATCAGCTGTGTACCTGCAGTGTTAATGAACTGGTGCTCTAGAACAAGGGAGAGGATTCAGAGTCAAGCAGCTTTAAGAATTTCATTCCGGTTTATGATCCAATTAGGAAAACAAGTGTCTGTTAAACCACAAGCTTCCTCATAAATTGAAACCATGTCTTTGGAACTGATGTTCGTGATTTAGTTCATGCATCTCTGTCAACCACTACAAACCCTACACAAGTTATTAGAAAGCCTCACTTTCTGCATTGTTCCTGTGCTGTTCGCCAGTGATGTTAGGACACTTCAAGTGCTTTATGCAGCTTAAGCTTCAATACATACAGCTATTTGACTCTAAAGAAAAGCATGTATCTTTATACTTTGCCCTACTACACTGGAATGAGCTTAACCTTATTGAATTCATCAGTAATGATAGATTCACTACAAACTCTAGACTTGACCCAAAACCCACCAAAGTTCCTAGAAACACTCCTGTTAAGAGAAGCATTTCTACATATTTCAGGAAGTTTTTGATCAGATTCTAATTAAAAGTAACAAGTGTGTCAGATCCAGCTCCTACTAAAACCAGCAGGACTACTATTAATACACTCCCCAAATTCTCTGCAGTAACTTGGATTTCTGTTTAAAGCAGATGTTATTACCACTCTGGTGTCCTCCTGCTTGGTACCTACAATGAAAGGGCATAAGATGCCATAGGTGCACAGGTTTTTGGCCCTTCCAACTAGAAAGCATGTGCATGCAACTTTGCAAGTTAATAGTTATGTCTTAGCAACATGACCACTCTTTTTAGTAGGGTGCTGGGACACATACGGTATCTTCTAGACAGGACATACAAGGGTAAATTGCCTTTGACCATGTACAACTGGCAGAGAATAAGGTATGGATCATTCACTTTAAATCAAGGCTTGTCCAAAAGCCTGAGAAACAAACAGAACACAGATTGAGACAATTTGAAATCAAAGCCGTTTTTTTGCAGCAGACTTTCATAGCTATCCATCTTATCTGGATTCTTGTTTGGGAGGTTATTTCCTCCTCCTGCCATATCAAGCTGAAAGTATTTCTGGTTGTTTTGAGCTGTATTTCACACAAAATACCACTCAGCCATAAATATTCATCACAGGATTTTGAATTTGAAGTTGTCTCACTCAAAAGTTAGACACAGAAGATTCAGTGATCCTAACTACTGATAAGTATAGGCTGATAAAGTATCAGAAGACTGCTGTGAATCCATTAGGCCACTAGTATCAGTGGCAGTTCTGCTCGATCCTGGTGTACATGGTCTGGAGGCTGTACCACGCATGCAACTACTGGACCTTTTCGATTCTGCTCTTGTAACCCACTTGCTCCAAGGTTACTAGCTATGTCTCCTCCATTTGCTGAAGGAACAGCTATGCTGGAGTGACTCCAGCTTTGACAGACAGCTAAAACAGAGGCTGACAGACCACAACATCAAGTGCTGTCGAACAGTGGTGGAAGAACATGACCATCTCAGTGTGGCTGATGGTCAAGCTCTCAAACTGCACACCACGTGAGTACCCCAAGCACTTGCCTTTGAGAAATAAGCCAAATTCTCCTCTCCCACCAACAGGACTCCAATAAAGTCAAAGATTTCATGGTAGGGAATAGTATCATTCCCCAAAAGGGGAAGCCAGGTCCTGTATTCAGATTTTCTGTTCTGAGGTGAAAGAGGTTAAAAACCACCAGAACTCTCTCAACTCAGATGGGACAGCACCTGATGCTGCAAGAACAATGCAATCCCTGCTTCCAGATGCCAGGGAATCTCTACAGATAACCAACTGCACACGCTGTAAACAAGATGCTGCTAAAGTGACACTCAATGTACAAAGGATCGGCATACTTACATAGTTTAAAAAAGTGGCCACACGATTTCCAGTCCCTAACCGCTTGAAAGCATCTGGCTCATCTTTCTATAAAATTAAATGAGAATAACTGCAAACTTCAAGCTCACAGACAGGAGACAAACAGAGGTACTTACATAGTTAAGAAACGTCGCTAGCCTATTTCCTTCCGATTTGAGTGTGCTGTCAAAGGGTCGCTGTAACAGACAACAACTTTAACCCAAGTTCCAGACAGGCTCACACTAGAGTTACAGACGTGTAGCTCTGCAGAGAGATCCTTAAGGCCAATTTAAAGAGTTGGAATTGAAAGGGGCTATTGATACAGGTCAATATTGAAGCCATTACACATCACAGCCAGGGTGCACAACTGCATGCACAGAGCAATCAAAGGCTATAGGGAGAAGTAGCACTGAAGCAGTTCTTAGGGCAGAGTAGAAGGAAGGTTTTCAGGGCCTGTGACACTGATGTTATCCCAGTAAACAGGCCATTACTGTAGGGGACAGTGATCCAAAGTCAACAACTGAGGTGAATATGAAAAACTCATCTCCAACGGCTTTAGACAATACACTTGATTCTGGTAAATGTACTAGTGACTTATAGAAATAGTGTCATGAGAAAAAGCAGTTTCTGCCAGCAGGCAAAACTGTAGAACAGTAATAGTGCGTTTCTTTTAGGTGGTTACTAGTTTGGGACTAAGCACCACATCAAAAAGATCAAATTCTCTTTATTCTGTAAGAAACCGTGAGTTTTGTTTGCTGAAGTATGAGATCACACTGGTGCCAGTTTCAAAGCGGAAAGAACATCTAGAACACAGATGTGTGTGTGTCTCCTCCCTTCAAAAACTGCAATTGAAAGTGTATTTACATTGCTCATAGGAAGAAATTTCAACCAGGAGACATTAAGGTGCAGTTTTCTACACAAAACCCATAATCTTTAACACTTAAAGAAGAGAAACCAGTATTAAAGACAAACAGCAAAGAAAAACCACAGCCGCTATCTCTAAGATGTTATAGCTGAATCTACCTGACATATATTTCAAGAAATAAAAGGTCTTTCCTGAAATGGGGTCATAAAACCCAAGACTTCTGTATCTGCATTGCAGATTCAATCCAAAAAGGACAATCTAACAGCATTGAGATGTACTCAGGTCCAGTCATGCACTTGTGAAGTTCAACAGCAAAAGACTTATCTATCTTTTAAGCAGCCAATAAACTCTCCAAGTTGTAATATGCAACTATTAACTTGTCCCTCTGTGAACTGCAAGGGAACAGAAAGCTACAGGGCAGATCAGGATCTGTGATGCACAGAGAGCCTGGAGGACCGGTCCAGAGCTATGGCAAATTCCATGGCTCCCTGAACTGATGCCTGCAGCCAAGGTTATGTTCCAAATGGAGCTCTGCCCCAGCTGCCTAACCCCAAAGCCAAGTCCACACTGGCCATTTTGATGGCTGAGGTCCTCGAGTTCAAAGGCTTTGAAGATAATTTAAGAGCATTTGCTTGATTCAGGAAATGAAGCAGTGTTTAAGTTAACAGGAAAACTCTCTCAGCAGGCCAAAGCTAAGGAATCTGAGCTTCCACAGTGCTGAAGTTCAGGATTGGCTTGTTTTTAAACAGGGCTAAGTTGGGTGGCTCCAACTCTGCACTCAATTATCAGGTTGTGCTCTGGCTGCAGTGAAACCTTCTACCAGCTAAAACCACTGGAACAGCCTGAATTAAGCCAGATTCCATTGAAATGCCACGGTTCTGCTGGAAACCAAGGCACCAGGTGGATTTTATATCCGAAATTACCAGTCACCACGGCTGTTCAGTGTGATTAGCATCTTCATAAACTGGTTTAGGGTAACAATCTGTTCCTCTTTTCTCCCCACTTGCAGCAAACCAGAGCCGTTATCTGCAAGGCAGAGCCCTCTAGTGCCTAGCGTGCATCTGGCACCCACCAGCGGCAAGTTCTGTTCCCAGTACCACTGCCCTCCTGAACCCAACAAACCCTCTTCAGACCCTATGACTGCAGCCACACTGAGGGCTCTGTAACCCATGAAGACGTCCGTAACAGCGACTTCTTCTGGAAGGATATAGAAGAGGTCTCCTCCTCATCCAGCTCTAGCAAAGTGCTTTAATATATGCTCCAGAGGAGGACTCAGAACAACCCTACTGAATTCAGAAGCCTGATGGAACAACAGACTCACAACCCAGGGCTTGCAGACCTCCATTTCCAAATGAAGTAATGGAAAGAGCATATTTGAGTGCTCAGGGCTGTCTTTTAGTGTCTCTGTACCATGCAAAGGAACAAAAATACACAGGCAGATTTGTTCTTTCTTCCCTTGAACTTTCAGCATCAGAGAAGGCAGCGCAAAGGCTTTCCAAAAGTCATCACCCATCCATGCAACAGGACTATACACTGAATGCTTTAATAGAAAAGGGTTTCAACAGTTTCCTCTTAAAACAACCTGTTCCCCCTCCCCACTAAGAAATAATTGACAGTGTGATCTTACCCTAGAAAAATCGAAGTGTGGCTCATACTGCCCTCCCATTCCATAGTTGGCAACCTACAGCATGAAAGAAAGCATCAACATCCATTGAACTGCAAGTGCCTGCTGCAGAAGACAGCATTTGCTCTCCAGAAATCCAAAACATGCTTTGAGAAAGAGCACTGTGTGGCAAGATTGTTATCTAGGGCATCCTCAATTTCTCTTTAGCTTGCCAGAAATGAGGTACGTGCATGAGAAACAACCCGAGTACAAAGGCACCAACCTGCAGCAGTTCAGCTGTTTTCACTGTCAGCCCTGTGATCTGCTGCATTCGTTGATTCACCTTGGCCACCACAGGATCATCACCTTCCTCCAGCCATGAGCTAGGACAAGGGAAGGATTGGAACACGTTATTTTGGAAAGCAAACACTATCACCTTTCCTAAGGCAGAAGGATTCTTCTGCCCTCACTCAGATGGCTGAAAGAGCCATTCACCACGCAGTTGTTGAGGAAGCTTTTGCTACATGCAGTTTTCAGCTGCAGGTAGCTGATGACAGGCATTAAGCACAAAACCCTTAGGGCTGAACTCTCTGCTTACCTTTTGGATACCCTGTAGCTAGCCACTGTAAGGACACCGGTTTTGGGATCACGCACTGTGGCTCGTGCCAGCTGTGTAAAAAAATCCCAAGGGGGAAGAAACACATCAGCTACACGTTAGGAAATAACCCCCTCTCATCTAAACCAAAATCAACCTGATTTGCCCAACTTCAGTGTATCACCGGATGAGAGTCATAGCTCCAACCCAGTTTGGTTCGATTTCACACTAGTACAGTACATGCAGAAACACAAATGCAAATCATAACTGGCACTGGATCTTGGATAAGGAATCTGACTGACTGCACAAGCCATGATATTCATTAAATCCATGAGTGCTGCTTGATGAACAGGTTCTGAAGGTACTTTCTTAAACAGCTGCACTCAGTATTAACAAGAGGGAACAACAAAAGTTAACAATGTACGAAGCTCAGGTTCTTGGCAAAGGGAAAATCATTGGATATTCCATGAATTTAATCAGCCTGCTCTTCACATGCACTGAAAAAACACATTCTAAGATGAAAAACAGCAAGGGAATGAGTTACAAATTACAGGACAGGCAAATCCGCAGTGGTAGAAAACTCCTGAGGGCACCTCTCAACATTCCCATGCTCAAGATGTTCCTGTTGGAAGACGCCTGGAACACTGATTTCACAGAGACAGCTTGAGACGTGTTATGACATTAGGGGGGTAACTCTGTAAAAGCACAGTCCACCTACACAGCTTAAACAGTGAGTTCTGTATCACCAGTCAGCCACATCACCACGTCTGTAAGGAAACACTCAGATCCTGGCAAAGCTGTTGAGGTTTGCTGCGGTGTCAAAGCAACGGGCTAGGGCTAGCATCACACAACGGGTCACTTCGGTTTGCTACTTGCAGCTGAGAACAAGAACTGGGACACTCCTCTGACAGTAAACACAGACCGCATCTAAATTTAACTCCTGCAAACCACAAACGCTTTAAATCCTGCCTCCTTCCTTCCACTTGATTATAGGTCACAGAAAGCCTTTTTTTGCTGCATTTTCCTCAGAGCATGCAGTCATTATTTCCTTGGTTTTTCCTCAAGTCAGCCTGCAGCCAGCTTCACAATCCGTGTCAGCTGTCTCGCCCCTCATACAAGAGCTCTTGGCACAACTGCTGCTGCAATTCTGACTCACTGTTATTCTGTTCCAGGTTCTCCTGCAGAAATCATAACAGAAGAGCCAGGCTGACAATCTTGTCCTTCACTTGTACAGTGAAGCATAGCTTTGGGATATAATTTCACTTCCCAAACTTTTCATTCTGCTGCCATTTTCAAGCTTGTACACCCTTGCTTGATTCCTGCACCTAGGATTTGATCTAAATAAATCAGAACTAAACTAAACCTGACCACATTCCTTGTTATTCCGCATCTCTTTCTGATAGGGAGGGTTCTTCAGTTAAGACATAAAATCTATACCTCACTTGGTATAAACTGACTCCTAAATGTGAGGCTTCCTCTTAGAAAAGGTGGAGAAAGCAGCCTGACAACACATTTGCTGGGATCTGAAGAACTGTAACCACGCTGGAGCGATCAGGAGCTTCACCCACTCTTCCTTAGTCTGCATTTAGTTTACCATGTGCCCCAATGGCTTTTCCTTCTGAAATCCTACAGCACCAAGCTCAAAGATGTGTGCCCCCCCTCCACACCTTACTTTTGCCTCTTCATGCCTGTATCGCATGCTTGTATTTGGGGAATAAGGTTCTCATACTTGCAGAGCAGATCTCTCCCTATGCTGCCCACTCCAATAGAGCTCAGAATTGCCCTGACCCATCCCAGTCAGCTCCGAGGAATTGCCTGAGAACTTGGAACTGCTTTTTGGCACTGGAGTGGAAGTGATTGCGTTTTGCAAAACGAGCATGCAAAGCCACTTGAATATAGCTCCCCTCAATCACATGCAGATGTTGTTCCTCTACAAAACAACAAGTATTGGCAAGCGTAAGGTGCAGATAATGTTAAAAGTGCTTGGACCCAAGAGGAGAAACTTCTTGTAGATGCATTTTAGAACAAGGGAAGTGCCCATCTCTGAGCCCAAAACTAACACACTACTTCAGAGCTCTGAAAGCTTCCATGATGGCTAACTAAACTTTCCTGGCTGAAGTTAAGCTCTATTTATTAAGGACCATCTCGGCACAGGGCTTGCACTTTCCGTTCCCTCAGCAGTTCTGCAGGATTTAAAGCTATTCCTGCAGCTGAGCCACAGACAGGTTTAGAGAACAGTTTAGAGAAAATGAGTGCTTTTAACTGGAAGCTTTAATCTGAACTTTAAGACTACGGTATTAACCTCTTAGAGGGACTAATCCCAGTTCTACACTAGATTATATGAGGAATTCCTCTCACAGTAGGAATATAAGCAAAACTCAGGGAGCAGGACTTGACTTCCCATAGAATGTCAAGGAAAAAGGGAAAAACAAAAAAAAAATTAACAGCTGTCTTAGAGTGTGTTTAATTTAATCTAATTTAATAGATTAAGTGATATGTTCTATATTTCCATTTTATCTGAAGCTCCTGAAGTGTTACAGTATGATGCAATAGGAAAAACTCGCTCATTTCTAGAGGTGAGAGTCCTCACCAAGACAGGAGTGTTCTGCCACCACTCCCATAGCTGGCTGGTAGTCATTGCAGTCCAGTGTCATAAACATCCCAAATCACTAATGATCTTCAGATGCATCAGTTTCCCAAACTGCTGTTAACAACTTATGTTCCATTTAAAAACACATACAGAAGGGTAATTCCCGACTGGAATTTAAGTACCACATTTCATAGCAGGAAGAGTACTAAAATGAACCATTCATCTATAAAAATGGGAATATTTCATTTTACATGCTTGTCTTACAGAGTAAGGTGCAGCATCTACAACCGACCTCACACTGTTCTGCCTCTGTCAGGAAGGGAACAGACAGGAAATCCCACCTCCAGAAAAAACAGACAAGATAATTACAAACTTTGCATTTTTTAGCTGCTTTTTGGTGTGCAGTCATCAGAATTCACATCATGAATAACAGGAATTACATCAGAACTAGGGTTCCTACTCCAAGCTGCTGCCTTTGAGCTGGATCTACACTTGGCACAGTAGCATATTTAGGTGGAAAAGTCAGATCTGAAGTGCTCTGGGTGAATGATTGCATTGTGCAGCCATCTTTCCAAGTACTTTGACCTTCCCAAGTCCAAGACCAGGAATTATTTAAGAGCTCTGCGTTAACAGTATGACATTATTCCCAACAAGCAGTTTGTGGCTTCAGAACACTGTGGTTCCACTCATGGATGCACCACAGCATCTGAAGTGCCTGCCCTGTGCAGGTCTTGGCTGTGGTTTAAACAGAAGCAGTGAATTCCAGGTTACCTGAATCAAAAACCCCCAGAACTCTAGATATTCTTCTAGCACAACTTCAAATCAACATTTTCTCCCATTTCTGCTGGCATTTGGGCTTCAGCCTTCTTTTGAAGTTCAGCTCCATTTCAAAAGGCAGATTTCAGCTATATCGGACACCTCTACCACTGTCAGCCAACCAACCATCTATTTTACAGGTCTAGTCCCTAGTTTCCTACAAGGTTCCCAAGCCATTTACTGAGAACTTTGCATAATTAAGTGCAACAATGCATAAATACCTTCAGGAGCCTGGGCTCTATGGTCCTACATCACCAGGCAGTTTCGAAATCGTTCCCCTTAGGCTCACAGCTGCAGTGTATCATCTGTAGTATGAAACCAGATCTTTCAAATCGTCTGCCTATTCTTGACTAGGAGATTAAAGCATGGAATTAGCAGTCATTAGTGAGACGGAAGAGGGAAAACTTACCCTTGGCTTAGCTAGTTGCTTGATTTTCTCAATCTCTTCATCAGACATGACGTCATAGTATCGTACAATATGAGGGCTATCCCATTCATCTTCTTCCTTGAACGGAGCTATGAGTAGATGAGGGTTTCTGTTTCCATCATGATACCTACAAAACAGCCTTTTCTGCCTTCGAGGTGTCTGGAACAAGATGTCAAACAGCACGCTGTTTGCTCAACCACTTTTCATGAACTTATAACAGGCAAGACACAAAAAGAGAGCAAGCTTCAGGCCACAAACACTGTAAAAGCCATCAGCAGACAGCAAACTTCAGAGGTAAGCATGAGTGATTCTGCAACTCGCTGCAAATAAAAGCCCATACACCACTCCAGATACCACTGCGCACCAGCTGAAACACCAACCTTTCAGAGAATTAAGTTGCAAGAGGTTACAGATTAAGCAAATGACTACATAAACAGCCAGCTGTAAAAGTCTGCTTCTTATAATTAAGACTATGCAGATGGAATGGATTCCTTTCCCTGCACTGCGAATTTAAAGCCATGTCTGTCAAGAGGTACTGGAGACTTGTCAGTTGAAATAATCACCCCAAAAGGGTGTTTCTAAGATGCAAGAAAGAAGGAATAATGTGATTCTCGAGTGTGGCAAAGCATAATCAGCTCTCAGTGGAAAAAGCCTCCTGTACATCTGCACTGTCAGCGTTTGAAACGGCTGAGCAGACACACCAAGGAGAATCAATTTTCAGCGACCTTTAAGAGGTACAGTTCAGCACTGCTCTTCTGTCTAGGGCTAACTAAAGGTAAAGAGGCCAAGATACAAATCTCATCCTGGAGAGAGCTACATTATGTTTTTCTTAGGAAAACAGCTTCACAGAAAGCAAACCTCCCCATGTCCCACCAAGCTCCATCACCCTCATGCAAAGGCAGCAGGCAGGGAATTCTTGCCTTTCTCTTACCATTTTTACCCCTTCACCCCTGCAAAGGGCCTCATAGATATCACGCTCTGGCAAGTAGTCAAGAGGCCTCTCGTAGGCACCACTTTGCACCACGGGTTCTGTTGTTGTCATGGTCTTGTTTGACTTCTCTTTCTCCTCCTCCCTCTCCTTCTCCAGCAACTTCTCAAAGTAGCGCAGATTACTGCCTGCCCTCTCATGAGTGCTGTCTTCATGGGGAGGGAGACACACAGAAGCAGGCAGTTAAGTGATCTCAGTTAGTACAAACAAGCCTTTTTAGCAAGACAGCAAAAACTCTTTCATTCTTAAAGCATCCTCAGGCTACCAGAAACACTGGCTCCAGTCTGCACTGAAAAGCAGCACTGGGATGCTTCTGGTTTTGCACAGGGAAGGTGGCCATAGTCTGCAAAAGAATCTTTTCTGGAAGGACCCATCACAAAATCTGCATTCCAACAAAAAGATGTTTTGGTCTTCACATCCCTGCTTTTCTCTCAACTTTTCTGCCCAGTTCTACCCAAGATAAGCAGAGATTCAAGCTAGTCCACATTTGCACTCCTCGTCTCCACCATGCTTCTCATCTGCACTGCACAGGCATGCTTTAATCAAGCACTGTGGAGTTCCAGCTACAGACTACAGTCCCAAATATGTCCTCCAAAGTCAGGAAGCCCAGAGGGACATGGTGGTGGTCACTACCAGTCCACCTGCAGCACCCATCTCTAGACACTTGTAATAGGATTACATGGGAGGTATCCTGCATCACTGACATCACTGGAACTATCATTAGTGATTTATTAATGATAGCTGGTATGAATCAATAAACATCATCATCAGATCTTTACCCAGCAAAACCAAGAAGGGACAATTCCGTGCTCACCAATGCTTCTGGACACTTGCACCTAGAACAGTTTCTTTTCCTTCTGGCCCTCCCATGCCTGTTGTGCTTATCTTGCAGAACTAACCCAGAAGGCCACTGAAATAACCTCCCATTAGAGCTCAGGCTAATAGTGGCCAGATGAGGAAGTTGAGCCAGAGCAGAGGAAGCTGCTGCTCCCATGGGGACTGCCAAGTCTGTTCCACTGTTTGGTGCTGATAAGGATTTACATTCTGGTACCAGTGCCAAGCTGTATTGCAGAGGGGGCTACATTAAATATTCATATTCTTGTATGTTTTAATCCATGAATCCCAGTGTCTACAGAAATTACTGATATTTATTTTTCAATAGATAGGCTTCACTGACACTCAGGATGCAGTTAACATCTAAGCTAAAAACCACCACTGATTAAATAAGACAAATGCATAACACAGTAGATGTTAACTCTAATTGGGAAGGCTAAACCTTTCCAATGCAGGAAGCAGGCAATGTTGGATAGGAAGCAATGCTTATTTGTTTACTCAAGAGATGGCTAGAAACAGACCAGAGATAAAATGAGGTTTTAAAAAACCTCAATCTGTTCTGGGTATTCAGTAATAAATACTCTAAGAGCTCAGGCAAGATATTCTTCTGCCATGGAAGAGTACCCACACTGAAGAATAAAGGGGAATATGTGAAGTCAATAGGACTTTACAGAAGATAACACACTCTGCCTAAATCTGGCAGCCCTGATCGCCACTTCAGACAACCTGACCAAACACATCTCAGGACACCAAGGCAAAGCACACAGATCCTGCAGCCAGACACACATCTGATCTCAGGTAACAACAGCACAAGACTGTAAGATAACTTGTTAAAGATACTTCACGTGTAAAGAGACTGTAGGTTTAACCCCAAGACCTGTAAGTCATCTGGCAGGACACCCTTCCAGTCAGCTCACCCATATGGACCCATGGCTGTTCTGGGCTCTGCTGCTGGCACCACTCCCTAGTGCTCCAAGAGCAGGTCTTTTGTCCTTACCAAGGGATATCAGCCGCCTGGTTAGCTCCATGGCTCTGTGCAAATCCCCAAACTGGTAAACTGCATAGCTGAGATAATCTAGGATCTCCACTTTGCTGACTGTCGTATCCTCCCCTTCATCGTGCTGTTTTAAGGCTTGTTCCATCCACAGTACTGTGTGATAGTAGTCTCCATCATTGTAAGCAGTCTTCCCCATACCAAAGCAGTCACCTACTGTTAAGTAGGACCTATACTTCGTTCCTAAACCCAGAAAGACAGCATATTAAGGAATATCAGTAATACACTTTTATCATCCAAAAAGGCTTCTAAAAGACAATGCTTCAGAGTTAAAGATTAAATTCTACCCTAATTCTGTGACAGTAATTCCTTTGGAAACCAAGAGAAGTTTAACAGACATCAGCGTTAAGCTATTGTGTTTTGCTTGTAGATAAAGGCAGAGCAGACCAACAGCTTACCAGGTTTAACTGAACCTCCAAACACTGTTAGCTGATCAGAGAAGCCTGACTACATCCAGGGCTGGCTTCTTTGCTCTTTACTGGAGATGCAGATTTGTGTGTAAGCCAGCTGATGGTTATTTAGACAAACTGGGTATCCATTTGACTGTATCTGCACTGATTTCCAGTTGCTCAGCAGATGCACAGATAAAGACTTGAAATTAAGTTCATTGTTAATAACCTCCACATAATAACTGAAACTGTTTTGCCAGCTCAGCTACCCACACTCTAATGAAGCCTATTGAGTTTTAAACAGTTCATTGCTAGCAACCATGACCTGCTCCAGTAAGTCTCTTACAAGCAGCAGCAACATTTATCAGGGCATAGATGACAAAACACTGATTCATCCCAATATACCTATGGATTGCCCAAAACATCTCACTGGGGCAAAACCTGTCAATCCCCATTTCATAGATAAGGAACAGGAGCATAATCACTCAACACATGCCTCCTTGGAAAACCACTTCCTTCCTCGTAAAGGCAAAGAGCCCTCTGTGCACTTACCTGGTAAGTTGCCTCGAGAGAGAGTTTCAGGATCCAGTTTGTACGTGTCCTGCAAGCGCATCAGAGCCTTCGCAGCTCCAGTCTCATCTTCTTCCGTTGGGAAGAACTGACGCTGAATTGTGAGATTTGCAATAAAGCCTTTGCAGTGAAAGGGAAGGATGTAACTGTCAGCATGTGAGTAAGTATCAGTAAGGGATTAACACAGAAGAGGAAGCATCTGCTTAGTTTGGGGAATTGAGATGCAAATAATCCAGACTTAAAGCCTCTTATTATGCTCTCAAGATATGAAAACATTGTTTTTTGTCCCATTTTGAGAACACAGCTCATGGGCAAGAGATAAAGGATAAAGATCTAAACCCCTCAGTTTTCTTGTGCCACACAATCACTAAAGTACAATGTGAATCTAATGATCTTTAAGTCTTTATGCTAGAAAGAGACAAGAAAATGAACAGCTTTCATCAGCTCTCTTGCAACGTCCACACAGACAACTGCAGATCATAGCACTAAATGATTTCAGACTCTGAGCTCCGGCATCTCAAATGGCAGCTCAGGGGGCAGAGACCCTGATCCAGGACCCCCTAAGTCTGGGTAGGACCTTACTCAGTAAGAGGCTTTTAAACCCCACAAGTAAGGCCAGAAAGCATTTAGAAATGGAATTAAGGGTACTACATAAACGTATCAAGGTTACGCTGCAGGTTGGTTGGGCAGATGTGGGGACCATCAGCTGAAGGAAAACCACCCAACCACTTCAAGTCATACAGCAAGCAGAACTGGGAAAGGACACCTTGCAGAAAGGATCAGACAGAAGTACTCAATAGAATTGAGTAATTTATTTCCATCTAGGATGCCTATTCCAAAAAGCAATAAAAATCTTGGCTGAAAAAACCTTCCAACTACCTAAGCTTTGGCATATGCAGAGTAGAACGGGAAAACATGCAGTGCTCTGCCTAAAAATGTAGCCTCTTCTCCCTTACTTACAAGGAGTCCAGTGAAAATAAACCTCCATTTAAATAAATAAGCTCTGGAAGGAAGTTCAGGCAGGCACTGACAATAGGATGCAAAACCAAGATTAGTAATGGAAATATTTGATTTAGGAGGACAGGTTTACAGATAGCAATTCTTTATTACCGTTATCAACAGACTGACTACAATATCTGCCACTTCCGAATGCTCCAATAATTCAGTATGTGTCTCATTTTGATTCTTAAATCTTATCTACTGATCAATGTGGTCGAAAAACAATGGTCACCAAGAGAAATACCACACTGGGAAAGCAGACGAGTAAGTTTATATATATAAAGAACACAAAGCTCAAGAACAGGGATAAAACAATGGTTGCCAACACAGGTGACAACTTCAGCATACCCTGTTCTTTCATTTTCCTCAAACAAAACTGGTATCAGTTTGAGTCTTCACTGAGATGTGCTTCAGTGGCAACTTTCACTCACTTGGGGAACCAGCAACCAGGAGCCAGTCCTTAGTTTAAATCTTAAACTTGGCAGTAATATTGAAGCCACAGCTGCGTTTGCAGCTTTCCAAAACACAAGGAGGATAAGCAAGTCTGTTGTAAGGCTACCTCTTGCTATCCCATCTCCTCTAACTCCTTACCATTCGTTGTATCCTGAAGAACCAGATTTTCCAATTCCAGCCAGTCGGTATTTAAACGCTTCACCAGCTTATATGCATTTACAGGATGTGCCAGGTACCCTTCTGGATCTGATGCTGATTTGCTGGTCAGCACATCCAGTTTTTCAGCCCAGCTGGAATAAGAAGTGTACAACTCAGTCTGAGAATGATTTATGAATGCATGTCTTCCTTCTGAAGTCATTGTAATTACACAACTAAAATCAATTTATTGCTGCTTTTGCCATCATAACCAGCTTTCAACTTCACACGGATAAAGTGAATTCCAACTGATTTAATTATAATAGTCTTTTTATTTTAAAAGGTATTTGTTTTCCTATTATTTTAAACCTTATTAAAGTAGGATGCATCTCACTTGCAGTAAGTCTTAGACATCAGTTTTCAGCATGTCCAAGGTGGGCTATAGCCAGGTTGGCAGCTGAGGAGAACAAGGCAGCAGAGCTGTCTCTGCCAACACAGAAAAGCAGCCAGGGAGTTAGTGTGCACTCCACAAGATGCCACTGGCACACTTTGCCATTATAAGCAGTGCTACTCCAGGTAGCAGAACGCTGGCACTCAGAGGCATTCAACTCACATGGAGAAGCCTGTCCTGCTTCTCCAAGGGAGCAGTGTGATGCTCCAAGGACAGGGAAGAATAGGAAGAGCCCAGCAAACAGGTTCTGAACAAGCAGACAAAGACTACACAATACCTGAAGCACGGCCCCCTCTTTGCAGGCTTATGGGAATTACAAGCAAGTTAGTACCTAAGGGTTCATTGTGATTAACTACTGAGGAAGTACTAACACAATCTAGCAGCAAAGAGTGGTGACAAAGGTGCAGCATAATGGAACACAGATGAGCCATTTTATCACCCTTCATTACACAAACCTCTCCCCCTACCTTTTAATCTGAGAGAGCTTGCTCTCTTCTGCTCTGATATAGTCCTTTAGAGACTGTACCAGGTCCTTCTCCGCATAAATCAGGTCTGTCATTTGACCTAAAACCAGGAGTATGAGCAAACATTAATCAGAGCTAAGAAAGGAACAATTTCCAACAGCACAGAAGACAGACTTGAAATGCTTTAGGGCCATTAAGACCACCACAAAACAGACAAGTTAAGGGTGGGCACTTCAGCACCAACGAACCACAAAAGCTGTTATATACACAGACGCGACATTCAAAACCTCCTTTTAGCATTACAACTGTATGTAAGAATCAAAAGAAAGGTTTGACATTAATGCAGCTATTGAGTCAAAGCAACAAAAGATCCAAGTAGTTGCTATATGTAGAACAGATGCTCTGAATACAGATTGGGTCACACTATTAAATTAATAGCTTAACCATCAGCATCACTTAAAATCACAACTTTTCAATGCAAGTAACTGTGGAAACACAACATTAAACACGGAGGCATTTCAGGCTAACATGTCCAGACTGACACACACACTCGCTCCCGATGGGCATTAGTGGTAATTGCTGGCATGTCAATCCTAATTGCTATGACAAACTTTGAGTTCAAAGACCAACCACTGAAAGACCGGATGAGATTTCTAACTGCAGCCACAGCTTAAGCTTCAGCATTCCGAAGTAATCATTAATGAGGCATGATTAAGTGGATGGAAGTCAGCAGGCTGTGCTATTTCCAGAGCTGGGGAAGAAACCACCAGGAGTTTTGAGTTTTGCCATTCACAAGCAGCTCCACTGAGCTCAGAGCATGTTGTGGAGGACAGCCAGGTGTAGTTAATCTCCAACATGTTTACAGGGGAGAACATCCCACATTATTCCACAGGAAAACATTAGACCAAATCACCACAGACAGCTCCATTGGTGCTTACTTTTCGGCTCTACCACAACCATACTTGCACCTACCACAGTTATTAGAATACAAGAACTGACAATTTACTTTCAGCGTTTATAACAATGTGCATTCCTCAGGATTTACACAGGTCCTACAAAGGTGGGATATTAATGTGTCCCTTCTGACAGCTAACTCCAACTTTAAGACAGGAGATTTCAGCTTCTGTCAAAGAAAACATTTCACATATTTATCACTTCCATTCTTTTCGTAAATCCCATTCAGGACTCAGCTTCTCAGCAGAAGGTCTGTGCTCTGTTCAGGTTGGCAGCAGGTACATAAGACACAGGCACTGTCTTATTTTACTGACAGAGCCCTCGGAGACTTGTGTATCATAGGTAACAGCACATCGTGACCATCAACTGCAAATGCTGCACTGACACAACACTTGCAATGCAGAACAGCATCAAGGATGCAAAAGGGTGGCTTTTCCCAATGCAGACAGGGTTTGAAACTGGCAATTGCATTGACTACATCATATCGTGCATCGGTTCTTTCCATACCTATGGATGTGAAGAACTCCGCTTCTGTGTGCCAGATGAGGAGAATCCAGGTAAAGAACACCAACTGCAGCCTGGGCTTCATCTTCCAAACAGCTCAAACCTGGAACAAATTAAAAGGAGAATGAGGAGTAAAAATTACTAACCTCTGAGGAAAAAAAGTCAGGTTTTTTGGGGATTGGAACCAAGGTCCCTTCCAACCCAACCCATCACAGGATTCCAAGATCTTCATCTTCTGTCATTTCACCCTCATGGAAAATTATTAAGTCCTTGAAAGACCAGATTCTCATCACTGAAGCTGAAAAGAGAATAATCTTCAAGCACAGAAACTGTTACTTAACAGTCTCAAATGCTATCTTGTATGCTCTTTGGGATTTACACACTGAGAGAAGCGGTCTACTGTCCACTGAGATACTGAGAACAAGGGCAAGCTCCATGCCTTCCACATCATGCATAAATATAGCTGGCAAACAGGAGAGTACACAAGGCTGAATCCTCTTCCAGTAATAATAGATGTCTAAATTAAATGGTCAGACTTTTAACATGCTGTAAAACTCAGTTATATAAAAGCTGTCTCGAAAGACAAATAGTGGGAGAGCCAAACAGAGGAACAGAGCATTCCGGAGCGTGGCAGCGGCGGTTGGAAAAGTTGAAAGCGAGATTTCCAGCTCTGCTTATTCAAGCTGCCTCATCCCAGCACACTGGCCCCTGAACACGGCCCTTATGGCTTCTGGATTTCAAAGGCTGTGCCAGGTTTGAAACCCAGACCCTCGAGATGGTGGCTGGAAGCGGACTGCTGTGTTTCCGAGAGCACGAAGGGAAAGCCCATGTGAGCAGACAGGCGGGTGGTGGATGAGAGAAGAAGGGGATGCGAGGTCTGCCCAGAAGAGCCTCCGGGGACCTGTACTTTTCCTGGTCGATCTGAGTGATGGCCAGGACTGCCTCCTCCAGGAAGCTCATGAGGAGCCCACCCTGCACTTGGAGCACCCACTGCTCACAGAGCCGGCACCACCACAGCCAGCCCGCACAAGCACTGCTGCTCAGTGAACCCTGAGCTCCCCTAACACCCATGCACACACACAGTGTCAAAAGGAAGATGACAATTGCTCAACTCATGGATGTATTTCCCTGCCCAGTGTAACTGGGCAAACTTTTCAATGGCTTTAACCAGAGGGGAGGTTGAGATGAGCTCTTCCCTGTGAGGGGTCCCTGTCCGTGGCAGGGGTTGGAGCTGGAGGAGCTTTAAGGTCCCTTTCAACCCAAACCAGGCTGGGATTCTATGATTCTATAAAACTTGAGGCTGGAAATGACCAATTGCAACCTGCTCTTACTCCAATTACAGTAATGAACATGTAACTGTTTGGGACAAAATGGAATCACTTAAATCTGATGAGAAAGGGTAATAGAGGGGAGAAGGGAAAGGAACACATATTGAATGTAAACACCAAACATCACCTGTGATAAAACCATCTCCAAGAACATTAGTAAGAGCTCTATTCTCTTCTCTGTATTACTGTATTATCACACAGCAAGACAACTGGTTTTAAATTACTCTTCAAATTGCTTTGGAAGCCTTTCTAAAGAATCAGACACATTTACCCCAACAGTCTGCGAGCATGAGTAAGCAGGAAAATGTCTCACAGCATCATAATAAAGTCTTCTTCTTTCTCTCTTCTGTTTCTCACCCCCCTGCAAACCACATATTCCCAAACTGCTTGTTTAAGTTAGTTCAGAACTAGTACATGGGTAATCTGAGAACTGAGTAAAGCTGAATGAACCGTACCACGCAGAGGTCTGCCAATACTAAAAGCCACAGTAAGTGATGTAGCAGAAAGCACAGCAAGTCAGGAGCAGTTGGGAAGTGCATTAATTCGGATATATTAAGCCACAACTGTCCATCTGCACTGCCTGTCATCGTTTCACTGAGTGCTTTCCTGGATGTGCCATACAGAGCCTGGCAAAACAATTACAAGGGAGTTTTCCAGTTAAAACAACACAACTCGACATCCTCCGCCCCGCGCCTCCCCACCGTGTTTTCGCATGGCTGAGGATATCTGCCAAGAACACTTACTACAGCTCGCAGCTTGTCTTTACAGCAGATCTTTAACAGCTTCGCCATCCTACTCACATTTACTTGAGTCAATAAACAGAAACCTCAGTAAACAGAGAAACGGGCTCTTGCTTGCACAAGCAGGACACCTGGCTGCAGGGATTTCATGCTGTTTGGACGCATTCTTTTCACAGCTGTTACTTGGGGAATGAGCACAAATAATGGCTTAAAGGAGGCTGAGCATGATGCTAGAACCACATTCTTGGACAGCACGAGCACGTATGCACACACACACGCCCATCCCACCATAGCGAAACCATCTGCTAACAAAGAGGCAGAAGAGACATTAGCACCTCCTACCTCAATAACAGACAAATCTTTATAAAGCCACTGTGCTTTATTCAGAGAATGGAAGAACCCAGTTGCATAGAAATGCCAGGTAAGAAGTCTGTGTAGGATAAACACTGCCTACATTCCTGGCTTTGTTTCAGCAGCATCTTCCAATGAAGAAGACATCCTGCTGGACACGTGAATTCAGGATCTCCTTTCATTTCAGTGAGCATAGTGACGTCCCTCCGCAACAGACTGCGCAGAAACACTGCGTTCAGTCCAGCCTTGGACTACAAACCCCCCCATGCTGAACTGCCAGCAGACAGTTCCCTTGTCCTGAGCTGGGGCTGTAAGCCCAGGACAAGCAGCACACTGCCCTGGCTCATCAGGCTACATCAAGTGCCATGAGCACAGTGATCCTAAGGCCATGTGTACCTCCAGAGATGAGCGCTTACACCACTGCTTTACCTATGAGACGGCTCTCTCTGCAGCGAGAAGCTGTTTCAGCAACACTGGTAGAGGAAAACTTCACTGCATACACTAACAGATAATCAGTGTTTTGCTCCTTTCCTTCCCTTCAATGTGCCCAGCCAGCAGAGCTGAAAAGCAAACCAAATGGATATAGTATGAACACTTTACTTCTTTGAGTATAAGCAGTGAATCATTGCTCCCATTGGAAAGATGCTGTCAGGCTTCAGGAACCACTGGCAGAAGGGAAAAGGTTTCTTCTACACTAAATGAATCAGGATGGGATTTTTTCCTCCACCATTTAGAGCAAATTCTTTATTAAGCTTCCTAAAAATTCTGAATGAAGAAGATACAAAACCATAGACCTGAAGCGTAAAAGAAGAGCTGCTGCACACCTACCAGGGTTATCGGTTTCTCACCCACTCCGAGTTTCACATCCAGTCATAGGGGACTGAAGCCAGCTCCCACTTGAGCCAAAGGAAGGGCTTTTTTTCAGGTCAGAAGAGGAAACAAATCCCCATTACTCATCCAGTCCCTTCGGGACTCTCACTTCTGATTGAACTGATAGGCTGCAGCCTCTTTTGTATACCACAGAACAAGAGCACGAGCCCCACAGAGCGCTCCTTTAGACAGAAGGCTCCATGTTGAAGCCCTAAAAACATGAACACCCCCACCATTTACCCCACAAAGAGTCTGAACTACCACAGTACAACCAACTTACAAACTGATGCTGCAAATAAAGGTTACAGCTGCCTCCTGTGCTTGCCTCTGCTATTAAAGACACCTGGAAAATCACTGCTAGAATCACTGCCTCTGCATGTCTCTAAATTTGAAGTATCTTGGTGAAATCTAACAAGAAAATGACTACTTCAGAGTCACCTCAGGCCACAGACGGATTCTTGGTGCAGATACAGTCGAGGCCCACACGCCAGGCTCTGAAGAACAACCCATCCTCAAGCAGCAATTTGAGGTTGGACTCTTGGATGGGGCAGGTCCATTTGGAGCTTCTCCAAATGCCAGCACTTTCCACCCACTGTTACTGCTTGCAGACACAGGAGGAAGCAGTGAGCTGGCTGCGCAGCTGGCTTCACCCCCTCCACAGAGCTTCACAAGTAGGCAACAACTTGCTATCAGTATTGAATGCTGTAGATAAGGCTAATTATATTTAAGTGGGAAATACACAATAGTACAAAAAAGTGCAAGACTTTTACATACTTTAGAGCCAAAAGATGGGCTTAATTATAAACAGATTTTCAGGATGTTGCCAAGGAAGAGCATCTCTCAATACCTCTGTAAGAAAAGCGGCCATAAAAAACATCCAGCTTGTAGCAGTATTTCAAGTCTTGCCTGCCACGTTAGCCAGGAGATGCCCAGCACATGATGGCAGCTAGGAAACTACTTAAATCATTAAATCCTAAGGAAGCATCAATGTTACCCTAAGCAAGCAAACCTTCACCATTGGCTGAAGACTCTGAAACAATTCAGGGCCAAAATTCATCATCTGCATGAACTCAGATGCTCCAACGTTCAACCACGCCTCTAACCCAAAGAGCTTCAGATTTCAATGCCTGCCAGCGTCCCACCCAGATCGTGCTGTTGCATCTTAAACCTCATGTCATGATTCACGACACTGCCAGTGCAGCATGCAGCAATTTACCTTGCTACAATGAGCCAGCTCTCAGTCACAACCAGGGACACACAAAGCACTGCTCCTTTTCAGCATTAGCTGCCTCCTTGCAAGTGAATTCTCTTCATCACTAACTGCTTCCCAGCTCCTTCCTCCAGTTGGATTTGCTGCTCAAAGCAGCTGATGCCAACATCACTACCTTCCTTGCCAAAGGGTGTCATGTGCATCTGAAAACAATTATAATTGCCTAGCAAATAATACATGTTTGCCTTGTATTTTGCCAGGCAACCCAAAAGAAAAGGAGGACAAGTTGTTCATTTGCACACACTGACATGGATAGAGGACATCCACACAAAGCTGCATGTACTTCTGGTATGGAATGGCTTGTGTTAGCTTTCACTATAATAACAACCTTAGGAGCTGTAATCATCTTGATTAGCTCCCAACAGGCTTTTTAAACCACAGCAAGGAATGTTCCTTCCACACTCCAGCAGGCCAGAAAATCTGTGCTAGTCGAAGGCACAGCAGAGCTGCCTGCATCTTACCCTGCAGCGTCTGCAAGCTCATCCCATATGAAGCAGCCTAGAGCCAAAGCCCACGCTGTTAGTGAAAACAGCAAGACTGCATGCTCTTTTTCCACTAGAGCTTATTTCTTTCATCATTTATGTTTAAACTGCATTTTACTGTGCTAACCACAGAATTTTAGTACATCATAATATTTCACATAGCCTTCCATATGCATTAAAATCTTCCTGCTTAGAATGGTTTTTTATGTCAGTGAACTGTTTCTTTCACTTACTATTGGCAATTTAAGTCAGACATTATCTCAGAGGTGCAGGGGTTGACTCTACTCCAAGATCGCTCCAGAACGTGCTCCCTACCACACTCCACATTCTCATTCCTCAGACATACAGAAGACCATACACAAAAATCAGAGCTAGTCATAGGAAAAACATCCATGTTTACAGCTTGCTGCTCTGGAAGCTTGCCAATATGCACAGCATGGAAATTACAAACAGATAGGATTCCTGACTTAAACCTAGACTGAAAAACTTCTTACAGTAACTGGGGAATCATGCTCCCTCTGCTGTTACTGTCCCTGCAATACAGACTCATCCTCTGGGCTCATGCTTCCTGCACTGCTTCCCAGAGTCGGATTAGCTCCATGAAGAAAATGAACCTCAAGAAATGATGCCTTAAGCAAGCAGCAAAATTCTTGCCTGTTAGTGTCATAGCAATGCTAACTCATAACTGCAGAACAGCGGCCTGCCTGCAAAACATCACCGGACTTATTGGTTGCTCTTTGTAGTTACAACATACCTATGGGATTATTTCCTAGGTCCACAGCACCAGAAAGCCAAAGTATTATTCTGGTAGGGGCTGTCGGTGGCAATGCAGCTCAGCTTCGTCCTCACCGACCACCTATAAGATTAAGGAGCAAAAGGTGTTACAAAAACATCTCCTGGGAAAGCCTACATTCAGTACTTAATACTAAGGCAATTCCTGGCTGGGAATACCGAGCATCACAAGGTCAAACAGCTCCACATCCTCTTTCCTCCTGGCTTCCAGGTTACAAGGGCAGCTTTTGCTGCTTGAAATGAAATCATCCCTGCCTGGTCAAGCGCATGTTTTGCATTGCTATGGCACAGCAGGCTCCGGTGCCCGCCTGAGCTGGGGCAACACTCGAGAAAGTGCCTTCAGGCCAGGCTGCCCTCCGCTGGCTCCTCGCCCAGCACATCAGTGCGCTTTACAAACACCAGGGCATGTGCTTTTGGGAAAACAGATCTCAGGTTAAACCAAAATGACACGGGAGGGGAACAAGCGGCGTTTGAAAACACCTTTATAAAGCTTAAGGCTTAACTGTGAGCCTGCGGCAGGCTGGAAGCGCACGTTACAGCCGGCTATTGCAGTGACTCACAGTCACCTAAGTGGCGATATCAGTCGTATCTAAACCCGAAAAGCAGGGAAAAGGGGAACTCAGCCCTGCCACAGCTTTCACTGACCCCACTTACAACCTCGTTACCCCAAGCCGGTGCTGCTGCCGGGTGTCACCTGGGGCACCCCCGGGAAGCGGTGCGCACACCGGGCTGCTCACCCCGCACCGAGCCGAGCTGAGCCGAGCCGCCGGACGGCACCGCGGGCACCCAGCACTGCGGAACGCGCTCCTCGGGGGCCGGCGGAGCCCGGACCCGCAGCACCTCGAGGCTGGAGCTCCCACCCGGCTGCCCCCCGAAAGCCCCCGCCCAGCCCCAGCACCCGGGCTCCCAACGGGGACCCCCCCCAAAACCCGCCGCGGCCCCTCCGTGCTTGGGATGGGGGGGTTCCACCTGCACCCCCCGCCCGCCGGACCCTGCCCCACTCACCCGGCCCGGCCCCGCCACGCTCCTCGCCGCTTTCTAGAACCGCCCCGGCCCTTCCAGCCGCGCCACCGCCCGGCCGGGCCCGCCCCCGGCCCGCTCCTATGGAGCCGCCGCCACGTCCGGAGCGCCGCCCATAGCCCGGCCCCGCCGCCGTAGTGCACCGAGGAGCGGCGCAGGCCGGGCAGCGCCGCGCCCCATCCATCACCTCGGGGCATGGGGCGGTACCGGGTCGAACCGGGCTCCGCAGGGAGGTCACACGCGTTGGGCACCGCTCGTACCCCCGGTGCTTTGTGGAAGCTGCTGTCCCCTCGGGATAGCTCTGCCTGCGGCTCCGGCGCTGCCGCTGAGCCGGCGGAGCTGGGCTGACTCCGTTGCTCAACATCGCGTAAGCCTCAGGCAGCGGTAGGGTCATAGGAGAAGGGAAACCGCGTTTGAAAGGGAAATGAGATGATTCCATTTTACAATGATGATGCCTTTAGACAAGGACATGTACCAGCAGGCCAAGGGGAATGGCTTGAACCTGCCCGCGGGGAGACTGAGCTGAGCTCTTAGGCAGAAGCTCTTCCCTGTGAGGGTGCTGAGGCGCTGGCACAGGGTGCCCAGAGAAGCTGTGGCTGCCCCATCCCTGGCAGTGCTCAAGGCCAGGTTGGACACAGGGGCTTGGAGCAAGCTGCTCCAGTGGAAGGGGTCCTGCCCATGGCAGGGGTTGGAACTGGAGGAGCTTTGAGGTCCCTTCAACACAAACCATTCCATGATCCCATAGTTCTGTAATCTCTGCACTGGCACCTGGGAACAGGGTGTGAGATTAAGGAAGCAATGATGGTCTTTGACTCAGGCAGGGTGGGCTCTGCTGAGGAGCAGCACAAGCCCTTGCTGCAGTTCATGGCCTCATGGCACAGCTGGGCAAGGACAGACTCCTCAATGGGAGCAGAGACAGCTGAAACAAAGCTGAAGAAGATAATTTCCCCAGCTCACCAGAACATCCATCTCATTCACTTGCTTTCCCCTACACAAACCAGTGATCATAAAGTCCTTTCCAACCCTAAATATTCTATGATTCATAGCAATTCAAAGCAACCATCATTGCCAATCATGGTAGCAATGACCTTAGCCAAAAATAACATCTTTTTAATATTAAATAGTCAGAAATCCAATCAGACCATACAAGACACCGAGAACAAGCTAACTCTCGCTTTCCACACTCACTTCACCATCACAGTCCATTTGCTGAACTAGCTAGCGAAATAAGACTGAAAAATGAGGTCTGGGGAGATGACTCACCCGATCAGAATCCATAAAGAAAGTGGAAAATAGGAACTAAATATCTAACAGAAGGCTGCAATTTCACTGAAGCTTTTAGCAACTGCTAATGCCATAAACCATAATGAAGTGGTCCGGCTGTCCTGTCACCAGAACATCCTAACAGAGCTCCATATGTTGCACATGCATACACTTTGTACATTAACATTTATTTGGGTGAAGCTGATTTCCGTCATGTATTTAGAAAAGATTGCATTACTGTCAATGAGAAAAGCACTAAAGATGTGAGTGCATTATAGAGACTGCAGAAACATCAGTCTTCAGAGACAGTGATGTCATTCAGAGACCAATTTCTTAGTTCTGATGGTTCTTCTCTAACCTATTTTTATTAAAGACTTCCTGCTCTTGAGCAGAAATTTCTCTGCTTTAGTGGAAATGACTAAAAATGTGTTTATGGAGGTGTAGCGGGTTTGCATGGCAAGAGGGAACACATGAATCTGTCTTCCACCATGGGAATAACCAGCTGTACAGTCCTTTGCACTGTATGTATAGCCTGTAAGTTGTGTATTAGCACAGAGCTGCGCTATTTAATGTTCCTAAATACCACATAGGGTGATGAAGGGACAGCCCCAGCTGGCACCTGGGGAGCTATGACATGGAGATCGGGTTTAGAACCACGAGAATCAAGCATCCTGTGAGTGCTTCAAGCCCTCACGTTCCTTAAAAGCGGAGTAAAAATCCCTCTGCAGAGAGCTTGGCTCCCAAATGCACACACAAGTATTTCTGGATGCCCCCTTGCCTCTCCTGTTACAAGGCTTTTGTCTGAGACCTTAGCAGAGGAAATATTAAAGCTATCTTAAGAGGTCTTACATAGCACGGTATTGCATTCCCCATAAAACAAAGCATTGAGTCAGGACGGAGGAGGCAGGGGCATGTCTGGATAACAGAACTCCTTCTGACCTCACTGTAGCTCAGGTTTCTCCCCCAGACTGCAGCTAAAAAGTACATGTGTAAAAAGACCTCGTACACAAATCAGCTCTAAATTTAGCTGTGTGTCTGTTGCTCTTCCTTTGGGTTTTTTTATGAATGAAAAAATAACCACAGCAGAGCCTAGAAGAGCAAGAATGGAAGCCAAGAACCAAGGCGTGCCAGCATCCATTGTGCTGTTTGACGATTCAGCCTGAAGTCTGACCAGTGTCTTTACCTCTACCACAGCCCAAAGGTCATTCTATGATATGGAAACGGTGTCTGATGAAGTATCATCTAATTATTAGTCTTCCTTCAGTGTCTGCACAGATGGATCTTGCAAGCTGAGGATGCGGGGCAAAAAGAGATCCAGCCTCCACTGTCAGTGTCCTCTGACAGAACCCAGAGACCCTGGCTGCAAACAGACTCCTCCTCTGAACGTTTCCCAAGCAATCAGACCTGCGCCAGGAATGGGGGAAAAGCCCTTTTTGCACTTAACACTGGGTTGGGAGCTCCATCCTGCGAGGTCCTGAGCTCCTCTGATGCTGTTGCACAGCCGAGCAGACCGGAGAGGCAGGAGGCAGCAATCAGAGCTATTGGAGATTGCACCCCTGGAGGACACTAAAGCGCAGCCAAGAGAAAGGAAAGGCTGGGATCTGGGTGTTAAATGCTGCGGGTCGTCTAAACGGGAGTTAACGTGAGATAAACGCGCAGCGATCCGATGGGAGAGCTCCGTCACACCCAGGGGCAGCTCGGGCTGTCTGTGTGCCAGGGCTGGGGAACCGAGGCTGGGTTTGGTGGGAGCGTCAGGAGCAGGAGCCCAGGGAGGAATCCGACGGCTCGTGTTCCTCTTTAACGTAATTATGGTACAGCTGAGGCTGCTCTGGCAGCGCTGGGAGCCGTGCCCAGCTGCACGTTCACAGGGCTTTTAAACTCCTGCAAATAGAGGAATAACCAGCAACTGCCTGAGCAGCTTATTTTAACCTGCCCAAGAGCACCCACACGGGATTAGGGGTGTCTCACTACAGGGACACGTTCCCCCCTCCTCATCCTGCTGGGGATGGACTCTTCATTAGGGACTGTAGTGATAGGACCAGGGGTAATGGGTTAGAACTGAAACAGGGGAAGTTTAGATTGGATATAAGGAGGAAATTCTTTCCTGTTAGGGTGGTGAGGCACTGGAATGGGTTGCCCAGGGAGGTTGTGAATGCTCCATCCCTGGCAGTGTTCAAGGCCAGGTTGGATTAAGCCTTGGGTGAGATGGTTTAGTGTGAGGTGTCCCTGCCCATGGCAGGGGGGTTGGAACTGGATGATCTTAAGGTCCTTTCGAACCCGAACTATTCTATGATTCTATGGGAACTGTGTAGATTTCAATGAGATCTTCCAAATTGTCCTGGGGATGTAGGGATGCAAATCCTAACCCTTGCTAAGCACTGGGAGTGAGGCAACTTCTGTAAATGATCATTTATAAATGGTTGTTTCTGATGTTCTCCTCCAAAATCTGTCCATGGGCACCTAAGGCAGCAGCTCTGCGAAAGCCCTGAGCAACTGCAGGCTCCATCGCTGTGATGTCCAAACTGAAACATGTTATAAACCATATCCATGTTTTATGGTTTTTAATCAAAGGTTGGCCCCCTCCTCAGCAAATGAGTAAGCTCTTTTGTAAACTTGGCTAGCAGGGATGATGAATCACCCCGTGTTCCCTGTTTGAACTAAGGGGGGGAAGCTGATGGATGCAGAGCTCAGCCCCAGCTGGGGCAGGCGCATTCCCATCTCCCGAGTCACTGCACACTGGGGTGTAAGCGATGGGGAATGTACCTGGGCGGCTGCAAGAGGCCCGTCTGACCTCTGTGT